CCCCCCCCCCCGCGACACACACGAACACATACTGGGGAGGAACAACTTTATCTGCTCCCTTTTTATGATCAGTCAGCTTTCCAATAAGCTTTCATCATTTAGCACCCGAGTTGCAGTGAATACTTTCTTCAGAAATTAGATGGGTCCTGTGTCGTCTCATTTCGCCCACGGCAGCCTCCACTCTTTTAGTAATGTAGGCCTAATATGCTTTCTTGTGTGTGACGGGGTATTGCGCATTTCACTGAGATATCTTGACAAAAATAAGGAACAGACGCTTACATAATATTTGAAGAGCACAGGGGGAAAATGACGGTTGTCAAAATCTGCCCTTTTTTGCCTTTGTTTTGATCTATAGATAGCATTTGTAAGGCAAATACCCGCCCAACAGCAGGCTCTCTGCGCTTCACAATCTATATCTATTGTGTTACTTGTTCCATCTTCCCATCACTATATAATAATTACCACACACAGTCATTAAGTAGTACTTACATAATTTAAATCAACATTACCAGGAAAGAATGACAGTAGGCCTAGTTCAAATTTCACGTGTAGCGTGAAACAAAGGCACTATTTTTTTTATTGTCCTCAATAGTTTTCTTGTGATTAAGGCCGTTTCCCCCATCAGGTCTTCATTTCGACTGCTTAGTGTAAAACTCCGTCATACCGCTGCCCTTGATTTGCAAAGTTCTATCTGCTCATTACTTAGTTTTGAGAAATCTGAAGTAAACAATTTTGAGTTTCACACCATTTCAAGCTTTTCGAATGCAATTCTCAGAATATCTTGATAACCAAAAACTCTGACTTATTTTACGATTTAAATAGAGCAGATAGAACATTAAGTTTCTGAATTCATGGTCTAGTTATTCAAATGGCCAAAGATGTCAGAGCTTTGTAATTCTGAGGAAGCGATACGTCACTTCTCAAAATGGCGTTCATCACGAAGCAGTCAATTTATGCTTAACTATAACAAAGTCAGGAGAAAACCCCAGAGAGCAGCCAACTTCTGTAACAATGTCTGTGGTTATCGTCTAGTAGTACGGGCTGGAGCGTCGGGACAGGAGAGAGATGAAAGCTTTCTGCTTCTGACGGAGTTCTGCCTTCAACGCCTGGTACTCTGCTGCCGTGTACTGTTTGCGCTTCTTCTGGGAAATCACACAAATTATAGTAAATCAGTGTACGTGAACATAATATAGGTGTGTATGATACACTGGTATTAGTAGTAAGCCTATAATTGATATTATTATACACACACGTTCTCTCTCTCTCTCTCTCTCTCTCTCTC